TGTGTAATTTATATCATAAGGGGAAACTTATAAACTGTCCATCATTTAATTATAAGCATGCTTTCGCCATGCTGTCAGTTACAAAAACCTGATGCCAATTCAAGATGGAAAAACCCCATCTAGGTTGGTTTAGCTTTGCATATGTCTTTATACAAGGAGACTTTGATTTGAAGTTACAAAGAATTTTTAAAGAGTTTTGAGAAATATGTTAAACAGTGATAACTTGCAATTTTTGTTAGTCAATTTGAATTATTGCATACTCAATAAATGCATGCATGGAGAATATGTTCTTGAAGGATGAGTTATTGTTTGAAAGTCTTCACAGAATATATTGAAAATGCAGAGAAAAAAAAAAGCTAATTTGCATGGAAACCCTTCAATTAGTGCATGAAATAGGCACCTTTGTGTGCCCTAGTTTCACATTTTACAGTAATTATCCCATGAAATTCCCATTTTGTTTTTTTTTCAACTATCTTAGGAGAAAAACTTAGCCTTAACCAAAATGGATGGTTGTGCAGCTCTTTTCAGCTTTTTACTGAAAAAAATCATAGACTGCACATCTGTATGGATTACTAAAGGACTTTGAGATTATTGTTTTAAGTACATTTTTGTTTACTTTGTAGAATACTTATAGTTGTTGCCTTGGTGGCATATTGGCTTACTCAGAGATTCTATGCTGGCTTAAATGTACATTTTAACCAGGAGTATCCTGTGATAACTGCAGTCATCACCATATCTTACCCTGAGAATTGCAATAAAGAGGAATTAATCTACCTACTGTACCTAGCAAAAGTGTTCCTACTACTTAAAACGTTTAACTTCTTGTCACATTACCATCCAAACACTTCATTTTCCTTGGATCATATGAGACTAACTGTGACGGTAAAGTGGAAAGAATTACAAGTGCAAGTCTTTTGGGTATGTCTCCAGCATAATAGCATATGTAGAGGTATACATTTTGTGCTACTTTTAAGTATGTGCAAAATTGCAGAGGCTCAGTTTGATTAAATGAAAAACTTTCATGAACAAAAATGTTGCAGTCTTTTTACAAACTCTCAATCAGATTTAGACTCTGACATCTTTATTATAACCCCTCCATCTTAGCTCTGGTTGAACATTTGGGCTTTCATATCATTTCTAAATATGAAACCTCTAACATGTTTTGTTGAAGGATTGTCTGATAACATCTCCATCGATCTTCCCATCAATGCTGATCTACTTTTTCATTTTTAGATGATGAATTGAAGAGGCAAATGTCTTGGATATTATTTTTAACTTAACTCTGCTTTAAACTTGCCCTTTATCCCAGACTTTAAATTCATGATGCTGATTGTTCAGAAATGTCCTTCAACTGGACATCTTAATCAGGTGACTTCTATATATATATTTGATTGCACTAGATTTTAACCTGGGAAAACAGCAAAGGGAAATTAAGACAAAATTTAATTACGTATCTTAATATAAATATATATATATATATATATATATATATACGTATATATATATATATATATATATATATATATATATATATATATATATAATTTTACCACATCTTCTACACAATGTGCCAATTTGTGTTAGTTTAAACAAAAGCTCCAAAAAATATCAAATAAATGCTAGATTAGTCAGTTTCAGGAGTTTACAGAAAGAAGGTGTGACTGCTGACGTGAATGCTGCTGTCATGTAACTGATCCCCAGTAATACCCACAGTATATGGAAATGCTTCAAGCATGGATTTTTTTCCTAAGTGTTTTGTTGATCAAGTAGAGCTTTGACGACATATCGTACCTGTCAGTGGTCTTAGTGCCAAACAAGAGTAATTTCAATACCTCTGTATGCATGTCCAATCTTAAACACTCTCCTAAACGACAGAGAAAAAAAATGACAAACTGTTATCAAAGTAGCTTTCAAAACCGATATAATGTGTCTGAGCTTGTTGTTAATTTCCCTATAAGTCGGTGCTTTGGAAAAATTTCTAAGTGCCGATACAAGTAGAGTTTCATACTTTTCGTTCCACAAGATGATTTAAAGCAGTCCCAGTAGCTTTGGTTACTCCTAAACATATCAGGCTGGCTTGTTTCAAATGTTTGTGTTTTATTTTTTGGCTTCTGAAAGCATAAATATTAACAAACACGTAGTGTTGTTGAAACTATAAACACTCATTCTGTTGGTGGTTCAAAACTGTTAAAATGTTTACATAAAAAAATTGTGTGATGTAAAATAATCGGTATGAAATAAATTTTTAGTGTTTTTATTCTTTTCAATTTTTTTTATTTTTTTTTGCTAAACATGCACTTGAAAGTGAAAATGGAGACTAAATATTAGGAGCAAGCTCTGTCTGGACGGGTTCAGACATCTTCTGAGATTAAGGACAAATACTCCCACCTACAGACATTGTTCTAAGTTTCAACAGATGGAATAAGATACCAGGGAAAACACTCAGGATAAACACTTGCTATCTATGGGCTGTTTCCGCTCTGGCTGTGTAAAGCAGGTATTTATTAGATCTTGGTGGGTCTTTTCCCACACTGTGAGCTCACAGGAATGCCCATAGAGGGATGTGGCTGGTAACACCTACCTATGATAGCTCCAGAAATCTTTTTCCATTAAACTGTCCCACCTTGATCCCATTTCACAGCCCGCAAGCCATTTTCCACTCAGATAACAGTCTGACCTGTGAAACCTCACTGCTGCCCCATCACTTCCTGCAAGATTGTGTTTCACTAAGGTGACTGCTATATGTTGTAAATCATACATGTCACAGAAGCACCGCTGCTAATGGAACATGTGTGTTCCTGCGTACCCTGACTGGGGAAAAGGCACCCACATGTTGCACCTCATCACGGTCAGAAGCCCGTTGTCTATTTTTAGACAGGCGCCCCCCATATAATTTTTGTTAGCACAAATCATCACAGCGTGCAGGCGTCTCTGTGTTCTCCTGTCTCCCCAGAAGCTTTTCGTCTCAGTCACACGCTAACTCTTTCCAGCTCTCCTCTGCCTCCACTGGTCCACAGGCTGGTGTGATTCACTTAGCAAACACCACAGAAAAAAAAAAAAAAAAAGATCCCTTCTATGGTAAAGGAGGAACTGAATAAAGCTTCTGTCAAGAAATCTGTCTTCACTCAGTGGTGGAAAGGGACAGAAGGAGAGTGAAGAAGCCAGAGGTTAAATGCCCAGCCATGAACCTTAACCCCTTGCAAAGCAGCAACGTCTGGATTTCTAAGAAATTAGAGCATAGGTGCGTGTTCTACTGATTCTTAGAAACTCTTTTCTTTTTCAAAACTAAGTAAAATAGTGATGAATTGTAATTACCTTTATCTAAAAAAGGCTAAAGTATTAAAAAGATAGCAATACTTAGTGGTTCTTGGTTGAGTAGGAAAGGTCCTGAGTTTTAAATTTCAATAATCAAAACTGTTGTTTTTTTTTTTCAATTAAATTCCAAATATTTTTTTTTTATTATTGCTTCACAAGTTAACATTTTGAGTATTAATGACCTAATTACTACAACAAGATAAAGAGTTTATAAAAGAAAAAAATCTATGGTGATTCAAGGATCAATGCACAATAATGCAGGTGTTTGATGAAGGTTAAAAAATGGGCAGATTTAATGACTAAGGATCTTGTTCAAGTAGTGGACCATGTTGACAGCTATAATGTGTATAATTTTAACTCTAGCTGTTTTAGACTTATTACAAATCTTTTTTCAACTTTTTGGTCAGCACCATTCTTACAATGCAGTGTTATAACATTTACTTAAAACGAGCTCTCTGCACTTCTTTAACTTTAAGTTAAAGCTGAGGAAAAAATGGTTCAAAAATTTAACCTCATGTTATTCTAACTTGTTTTTGTCAGGGTTTTGTTACGTGTCATGCATTTCTGTTTTACATCCTTACACTAACATATAATAATAATATACATTATATAAATTATGTATTATATTAGACTTAGACATATTTATCTTGTCATTTTGTATACACAAGTGTAAACAAAAAGAAATTTAGTTTAAAACAGCTCTGGACCATTTCATTTTTTAAAGTGCAGCCTTGAAAACAGTAATAAATGCATATATAAAAGAGTTATATGACTGTATATTTACATTTCTAACATTTGTATTTATTATAATGTATATATGTTATATATAATATATATTTTACTCAGAAAATATATATGGGGATATCATAGTTTTAAAGATTCTGTTGTTTTTTTCTGTCTTTAAGTTTGTCAGACTCAATTTCTTCTGTGAAAATGTTTAAGTGATATTTTTGGACTTTCTGAAGGAAGAATGTCTTTTAAATATTAATGTTATTAGTTCATCAGATTATTTTTCTTTTTTTAATTCATTAACATGATATAGTTGTAGATGTATTCTATGTACAGGCTATTTTTGTATGTATAATACATATGTAGGCTATCTCAAAATTTGTTATATCTCCGTTTCTCTCTGTATCCGACCAGTACACCGTGTTCTTACTCAATGAGTCCCCTAGTGGCCATGAATTATATAACGATAGATGAAATATTACTTAAATCTTTAGTCACTAAGACTTCGGCTGACTTAAATATAACTTATTAAAAACATAAGTAAGAGAATATTTTTTTAAAGGGAAATAACTGCTTAATGTGTAAGAATTCATCACTCCAATTTCATCTCTGCTAAATCATCCTTATGGACTTACTCTAAATCAGTTCAAACGCACAATCTTGATTTTTAAATATTGGATTTAAACATTATTACATCATTGAATCTGTTAAAACTATAGCTTTTATCTGACCGGAAACCACCAAGTCTTGGCTCTGCTGCGCGGATGAAATATTTGTCTGGTGATGGAAATTCAGCTCAGGAATGCGTCTTTTTTTCTCTCTCCCTCCCTTATGTGCGTCTTGGATATTACTGTGTGAGGTAAGATAAGAAGTCCGTCCCTTTTCTGCATCCTGCGCTTGATTGGTCCAAACGGGAGCTCAGGAATGTCCTAAAGGCGTTTAAATAGAGGCTAAGACAGAAGCGCAGGTCAGTGGAAACAGTGGAGGCACTAAGATTAAAGAAAGAATTTCCAACTTTACCAAAATACTGCTTTCAGAGCTGCGAAGAGGAATCACATAATTGAAAAAGGACTTTTTTTTTCTTTTTTTATACTTTTGGACACATTTTTATTTCAAGGTTAGTATTTTAATTCCATTGTAATCTTTAAAGATCTTATTTGGTTTGAATTTGAAGTCATTTTTCCTGTTTCTTTGGAATTTTTCTAAGATTGCAAGATGATGCTGAGCGGCATCGTTTTTCTGTTCTTGCTTTGGAGTTGCCAAGGTGCTAGATTGGCAGGTAAGATAAAAAAAAAATCTTACTGGTAATGGTGTGTGTCATATTTATACAAAACTAAAAAAAGAGAAATCATGCAACTGCTTTTAGCATCTACTTAATAGTATTCAGTTACTTTAACAGAACTGCTCTGTTTTAGCAGAGTAGGACGTGAAAAAATTATATTAAAGTACTACATATAATTTAGTAGATTTCAAAACCAGTTGAATTCTTTTTTTTTTTCACTGATTTGATTTTTAATTCATGTTTAAAATCCTTTTTGGATTTTCTTTTTTTTATTTGCTAAACCATTCTTTATGTAGCCTACCTAATAGATAAAAATATCTCATTTTTTCTGTGTTCGCAGAGAGTCGCGATGATAACAGTGTGTATGATCTATTTGAACTGGCAAAAGTTAGCAAAAGACATAATGGAGTGAGTCTGGTCAAAGGCATAGATCCATACAGCCCCGCATACAAGGTCCTGAATGCAGACATGATCCCCCCTGTTCCCGACGCCTCCTTCAGGGACCTACTGGACTCCATCCAGGCAGAGCGGGGTTTTCTCCTCCTGCTCAACCTGAAGCAGTTCAAGAAAACCAGAGGAGGTCTGCTGACCGTGGAGAAAACTGACGGATCTGGACCCATCTTCGAAATCATATCTAATGGGAAGGCGAACACGCTTGACCTGGTCTATTCTACCGAGAGGCAGCAACATTTGGTTTCCATTGAGGATGCAGGCTTGGCCAATGGGCACTGGAAGAACCTCACACTGTTTGTCCAGGAGGACAGGGCACAGCTTTTTGTGGGATGTGAAGAGATCAATGTGTCAGAGTTGGATGTGCCAATCCAGACTTTACTGTCCAGGGAGGTGGCAGATAGAGCCAGGCTCAGGATTGGGAAAGGAGCTGTGAAGGACAAGTTTATGGTAAAAATATCAAAGTTCTTACAGTACTAAGTTTGAATAACTTTTAATACTAGATGAATGGCATAATTCTAAAACTGTTTTCTTTTTATCATGTTTTAGGGGGTGCTTCAGAATGTCCATTTCGTCTTCGGAACCACTCTAGATGCCATATTAACCAATAAGGGATGTAAAAGTGGAGGTAAGACTGAAAATCATGCAATAACTGCAATAAGATGACCTTAGTTATCAATGGGGTTTTTATATGTGAAATTTTGCTCACCACCCGGGGGAGAGGTGGGAGAGGGAGAGGCAGGGGAACTCAAGCAAGAGAAAAATGCATGAGGCAGTTTCAGTTAAATGCAGTTTATTTATGAGAACACAGTCACAGCAAATTTCATCTGAAGGTACTTAATTAGTCAAAAAGAGCCAAGTTAATCCAAGCTGAAAAACCAGGCTAAATGTCAGTTTTACACATACCAATCTAAGCTTTGTAATTACGATGTAGTCAAATTCAGTTTTTAAATTCCCACAGCCAAAATTCTATCCCATTTAACCATTCTTATCTGTCCAGAACAAAATTGGGAAATTTGTCTGTGAGAAAATCTTCTTTAAAACACAATTAACATAACATATCATATTTAACGTTGTTAATATTATAGAAAGAAGCCCTTTTTATAACTGAAAACATAACATAGAGGGTTTTTTTTTATCATTAAGACCACCTTAGATTTAAACAGCATTACAAACCATGGTCTATACGTAGATGCTTAATTGATGCCATTGATGTCAGATTTGTCAGTTCTTACTTGAACTTTTCCCCTATCCTCTCATCTATGTGCAGCTGCCTTAACACAAATGATGACCCTGGATAATCCAGTCAATGGTTCCAGCCCTGCCATTAGGACAGATTATACTGGCCACAAATCCAAAGGTAAGACCTCTCCTCTCTTAGCAGTAATGTGAAAATCTTTACTCCAAAATGTACTCTTTTTTTCCTAAAAAGCTGAGCTAATTTATTGGCCTGTCCTCAAGCAGATCTGCAGACTGTCTGTGGTTTCTCATGTGACGACATCGCCAGCATGTTTAAGGAGCTCAGGGGACTCAATGTGATCGTCAAGCAGCTGTCGAATGAACTCCAAAAAGTGGTATGCTCAGGCGACCATCATTATCTGTTTTTTTTTTTATCATGTACTCACTTTTTTTCCCTTGCCTGCTTTGAATTAGCACATTTATAATGTGTAGTCACTTGTCGCCATAATGGCTTTCCCCAGCCAAATCCTTAATGAGACCCCTGTGAATACACAAATATGTTTGGCTCATTGGTCACATTTGCAGTGCTCTACTAGATTCTAGCAATGTCTTAATCAGTGATTCATTTGTACTGGAACCTTGGCAAAGTTAAACTTCTCTATCCTCTTTCCAAAGCAGCCCCTTTTCTTACTCTGAAGCTCTTTTCTTTTCTTCCCCTAGTCTACAGATAGCGAATTACTGAAAAATCAGATAAACATTCATAGAGGGATCTGCATCCATAACGGCATTGTGCACCAAGACAAAGATGAATGGACAGTGGATGGCTGCACAGAGTGCACCTGTCAGGTGAGTGTGAGAACACTTCCAGGAATGCAACCTTTACACAACCTTGGAGCCAGCTGTCTGCCGCAATAATGTCAAGAAAGTGGTCACATTAGCGCCCTTTTCTTCTTCTTATGAGGGCTAATCATGAAATGTCATATAATTTTAGCAGTTACCAGGAGATCATTAATAAAGATCTCTTGAGGTTCTTTATGCACATAGCAGATTTGTAATATGTCTAATGACATAACACTTTTCTTGAACGCAGCACCTAGATTTGGATTAGGATTAGTCAAGTCTTGTTTTGTATACTTTGTACTTATTCAACTATTCTACCATTTAGAACTCTGCAACCGTGTGTCGCAAAATATCCTGTCCCCTCATCCCCTGTGCCAATGCTACTGTGCCTGATGGGGAATGCTGCCCTCGCTGTGGGACACGTAAGTTTCTTATTAAATCCCATCAAATCGGTTTTATCTCATAGTATCTGAAGCCTTTTTAAACCTAAACCTAATGTCTCTCCTTTACAGCCAGTGATTATGCAGAGGATGGCTGGTCTGCCTGGTCTGACTGGACCCATTGTTCTGTGACTTGTGGTCGTGGCATCCAGCAGCGTGGACGTTCCTGTGACCGCATCAACAGCAAGTGTGAGGGCACCTCTGTCCAGACCCGTGACTGCTACTTGCAAGAATGCGACAAGCGATGTAAGCTAAAGGAAGTTCAGAAAACTTCTCATTTTTTCCACATTGTGAAAATCCTTAATAATTGTGAATGCTATGCTTTACAGTTAAACAGGACGGAGGCTGGAGCCACTGGTCACCCTGGTCTTCGTGCTCTGTGACCTGTGGTGAAGGGGTCATGACACAGATCCGCCTCTGCAACTCCCCAACGCCGCAGATGGGTGGCAGAGACTGCCAGGGAGAGGGACGTCACACCAAAGTCTGCCAGATGTCACCCTGCCCTAGTAAGTTAGACACCATTACAAAAGTTTTGAATTTCTTTTACGTTAGTTTTCATTCAGATTTATTGATATGGTTTTTAATTTGCAGTTAATGGAGGATGGGGGCCTTGGTCACCATGGGATACCTGTTCTGCAACCTGTGGTGGAGGAATCCAAACAAGAAATCGTCTCTGCAATGATCCTGTTCCCAAATATGGGGGAAAGGATTGTGTTGGTGATGCTACCATGGTTCAAGTTTGCAACAAACAGGATTGTCCTATTGGTATGTGTCAAAGCTTTGGAAATAATTAGAACAAGATAAATCATCATAACCTTACAGTGATTTTAACCTAATGCAACAATATCTTGTTGCACACAGATGGTTGTCTTTCCAACCCTTGTTTCCCTGGAACAAAATGCACAAGCTTCCGTGATGGCTCATTCAAGTGTGGCAAGTGCCCACTTGGTTATACTGGTAATGGGGTCACCTGCACGGACATTGATGAATGTAAAGAGGTCCCGGATGCTTGCCATTATCATAATGGAGTCCATCGTTGTGAAAACACTGAGCCAGGTTACAATTGCCTCCCCTGTCCTGCACGTTTCTCTGGTCCCCAACCCTTTGGAAGAGGAGTGGAACAGGCAATTGCTAAAAAACAGGTGTGGATTGTTTGTTGTTATTATTTGCTTTGGTTTTGGCATGCACATCAAAAGCTTGCAAGTTTTAACGCTCTATAATTTCTTCAGGTTTGCACTCCCCGCAACCCTTGCAAGGACGGTAGCCACAACTGCCATAAAAATGCAAATTGCATATATTTGGGCGTGTACTCCGAGTCAATGTTCCGCTGTGAATGCAAGCCAGGATATGCTGGGAATGGGCGGATTTGCGGAGAGGACAGTGACCTGGATGGATGGCCTAACACTGATCTGCCATGTGTGGAGAACGCCACTTATCACTGCAAAAAGGTAACTATACCCCACATGGCTAGAAGCACTAAAGACTGTTATGACCCATGCACACCATATTATTATCGTCATTGCTTTCTTAACCTCTCTTTTGTTCCTTTGCAGGATAACTGCCCCAACCTTCCCAACTCTGGGCAAGAAGACCATGACAAAGATGGCTTTGGGGATGAATGTGACCATGATGATGACAACGATGGAATCCCCGATGATAGGGTGAGTAATCTGGGAGTTTTTTTAGCCTGAAGTTTTGCTTTCCCTTGAGACCATACATAGCAATCAACTGCAGCCATCCTTCCTCTGGGAAATAGGAATGCAAAGTGCTTCAGTTTGTGTGCTTTCACCAAAGTCATAGTGGAAAGTCAGTTGCACAGGGAAAATTTACTGTAATTTTCAGATAAAGCCAGTATTGAGGATGAGATTGCTGATTGCCTATAATTCTTTTTAATGGATTTGGAAAGTTGGGCATGAAAAATGCATTTTTGAACACTATTTGGATATTAAGTTTCAGCCAAATAAAAAAAAAAGTACTGGAAAAGGATAGATTTTTTTTCCTTTAAAAGGCTCCTCTACTGTAGTCATGGCCCACTTTGCTTATTAAGATGTTATTTTTCTATGATAGGACAACTGTCCCAGAGTGTACAACCCTGCCCAGTATGATGCAGACAGGGATGAGGTTGGTGATCGCTGTGACAACTGTGTGTTTGAGGCTAATACTGATCAAACAGACACAGACAACAACGGAGAAGGTGATGCATGTGCCATCGACATTGATGGTGACGGTAAGTAATCTCTGCAAATTTAAACTAATTAGCTAGGAAGAAGGGTGTAGGGTATAATAAGAAAAAATATATATATTTTTTTCTTCAACAGGCATTCTAAATGAGAATGACAACTGCCCATATGTGTACAACGTCGACCAGAGAGACACAGACAGGGATGGCGTGGGAGATCACTGTGATAACTGTCCCCTCGAACACAACCCAGACCAGGTAAGGTTATGTTTGAATAAAGGCTATCAAATCAACCTATTTGCTAAAAATATAAATGTTTAAAAGATGTGCTGATTTTGGACATTGCTTGTATAGCTAAAAAGGTCAAACATTTATTCACAAAGAGGGCAGTGAAAAGTAAGAGCTTCTCTTTGGGAAAACTCATCATAAATGGATGTGGTTCTTCCACAGATTGACTCTGATGCAGATCGTGTTGGAGACAAATGCGATAACAACCAGGACATTGACGAGGATGGTCACCAGAACAACTTGGATAACTGCCCCTACATCCCCAACGCCAACCAGGCAGACCATGACAAAGATGGCAAAGGAGATGCTTGCGACCATGATGATGACAACGACGGTATTCCTGACGATAAAGATAACTGCAGACTGGCCTTTAATCCTGATCAACTGGATTCCGATGGTAAGCTTTTCAAAAATATGTAGCCGCTTCTCTTTTTAATAACAATGTGAGGTTGTTTGTTGTTGTATTTTATTTTTCTAATTCCATGTCCAAACTTTCTTTGCAGGTGATGGTCGTGGAGATATCTGCAAGGATGATTTTGACCAAGATAATGTCCTTGATATCCATGATGTGTGCCCTGAGAACTTTGCCATCAGTGAAACCGATTTCCGAAGATTCCAAATGGTTCCCTTGGATCCGAAAGGCACCTCTCAGATTGACCCCAACTGGGTGGTCAGGCATCAAGGCAAGGAGCTGGTGCAGACTGTCAACTGTGACCCCGGCATTGCTGTCGGTAAGTAATACATAAAGAGGCATATTTGTGCAGTTTTACAGACCACAAGTAGTAGCTATCCTAATCTGTGATAATTCCACTTTAGGTTATGATGAGTTCAGTGCCGTGGATTTCAGTGGAACATTCTTCATCAACACTGACAGAGATGATGACTATGCCGGTTTTGTGTTCGGCTATCAGTCCAGCTCCCGCTTCTACACAGTGATGTGGAAACAGATCACACAGACCTACTGGTCTCACACACCTACTAGAGCTCAAGGTTACTCTGGTTTGTCAATTAAAGTTGTGAACTCCACCACGGGGCCAGGCGAACACCTCAGAAATGCTCTGTGGCACACTGGAGACACCCCAGGACAAGTAAGACATACTCTTTGACCCAAGATTTCAGAAATGATTCAGTGTTGGTTCATATTATTCTAACATTATATTCTTGCAACTCTTGAATTTTAGGTCCGTACTCTGTGGCACGACCCCAAGAATATTGGCTGGAAGGACTTTACCGCTTATAGATGGCACCTTACCCACAGACCCAAGACTGGGCTTATTAGGTGAATTCAAAATCTGATTTAGCTTAAATATTTTGCAATTCTTACCCAAAATGACACAAGACTAACAGTATGTTATTATATTTATCTTTCAGAGTGGTCATGTATGAAGGCAAGAGAATCATGGCTGATTCTGGAAACATTTATGACAAAACATACACTGGTGGGCGACTAGGCTTGTATGTCTTCTCTCAGGAGATGGTTTACTTCTCAGACCTCAAATATGAATGTAGAGGTAAGAATATGCATTAAGGCACTTAAAAAACAATTCTTATAATTCACACTTTTTTTTTTAACAATTATTTCCATTGTTTTATCTTCCAGATTCATAATTGCACCCCAGAGCCTTCTGGAAGAATGAATCAGCGCAGGCCTACATCAGTTTTTGTTTCATTTATATGTCCTCTGAAAATGCACATTGGAGGTATGTTGAGTAAGTGAGCTAACGAGGAAGGAAAGGGACCTCAGGAGTTGAAGCCAAATAAAAAATATCAACGCTGCACGAAACTCAAACTGTGAGTGCAGTTCTGCTCAGAAGAAATCGGCTCTCTTTTAATCTGTCCGTGCTGATCTGCATCAGAGGAGGGCCACATTTTATTTCTTTGCACACCTGAACTGATACTCCTCTATGGATAAAGAAGCAAAGGGAAGAAAGTAGTTTTTTTTTTTTTTTTTTTAGTATATATACTAATTTTTAGTTTTAACATACATCTGCTGTGGACTGAATGATGAAACTACTCAGAATGAAGAAAGTAGTAATTAGCATTTTGAAGATGGGGTAACAAAAGAAAGCAATGCCCTGTGAAGGAACTGTTAAGGGAATAAAGAAAGTAAGATATAACTATTATTATTAATAAGTGAATGTGGTGGGTGGGGGTTTTGTGCATGTTTGACACCAAAAAAAAAGAACTGCATGAAGACAGCTCAATCAGAATTAAGTATTGATTTATTTCCACAAGGCCTTTAACATGGGCTACAGACAATGCTTGGTTAGTAATGGAGACGAAGGGCTAGCCCAAAAATCTCTCTTCTCAGGAAAGTAGACTGCGAGCAGGAGAGCTTGGAACACAAATGATCAGAAAATCTTGTCTTATGACCTATTGCAGTGAAGGCCAGTCTGCTTTCTTTTATTTTTTTAACATAGAGCATTTAATTGTAGCTCCTCTAAGCATCTTTCTTGCATTAAATATTATAAGCAACCTTTTATGGTTGACATCATCAAAATATATATTGTTACTTCTAATTATGGGGAGTGAAAAAATGATATCCTGCTTTCTGCACAGTGTGCATGATGGCATGCCTGAATTTCACTGTTTGAAAGATGGGGGGAAGAAAGGAAACCTTTTCTCTACAAATATTACCTCATCTTTTCATTGAGGCCAGCAAACACGAGAACCACAATTTTTAGCAACAGAGTATAGAATTTTTTGGACTTTAGTATCATTAATATGCTGTATATAAGATATTTTTGTAGTACAGGAAATGGAAAAGGATTAAACTGATGTTTTGCAGTCTGTTATTTCTTGTTCCTTTTGATAAATTATTCTGTTTTTTATGTCATTTGTGTAGATATATGCTATTTAAATAATTTATCTTGAAGTGTAACCTCCTATGGAAGTTTCTATCTGTATAAACGTTTTTGCACACTGACATGAGGGTGTCTTTTTTATTTTAATTATTGTTTGTCTTTGATTATTAGTGAAACTTTTCTATAAACATTTGTGCTATAGTTTCTATTACAAGTGCTGTTTATATTCCTGAATTTATTGTTACTTTGTAATGTCAAGTGAACAATAAACCCTTAAGAAAAAGCTATTTGAATCATCTCTGTTTATTTATTTTAGTAGTTCGATTAAAAGGGAGAAAGGTAAAGAAAAAGAGAAAGAGAGAAATTACATGCAAAAGGGAAGCTGGAGCTTTCAGACGACTTAATCAAAATCTGTAGCCTAAGATATTGGGAACAACTGTTGCATTCCTTGTGTTAAGCAGACGTAGAGTTCTTGGCCTCAGAGAAAAATAAATGGAAAAATTTCTTTCCACTTGACTTTCTACTGATATGATTGGCAGAAAACATTCTGAGCACCCATCTTCTTTATTATTTTATTTGTTACCTTTCGTGGTTATATTGTTTCATTGGCAGTGTGCAGTTATTTAGACTTTAGACAGATTTTATTTGTCATTTTGTTTACACAAGTGTAAAACAAAAAGATATTTCGTTTGGAAACAGCTCACTGGACAATTTCATCTTTTTAAAAATGCAGCCTTGAAAAATAGTAAAAATGACTGTAAATTTACAGTTTTTTTCAAATCATTATCAACAAAATTACATAAAAACGAGTAAAGCTTAAGGAGCAATAAATTCATCTATATGTAATTGGTCTTTATGGCTTGGAGATGCTAAAGATGTCTCACAATCTGGCCTTATAGGTGACCTTAATTGTCCACTTACCTGCCTAACTCTCCCCGGTCTCTGATTATCACTCATCTCATCCACCAGGTTGATATGCGGGTCAGCCTAGCTATCGGGGCCAGATCATTTTAGTTATTCATGTATGTATGCTTGTTTGATTTCTTGCTTTGAGTTTTCGTCCTTGGAGGCCAGTTGGTAAGAGGGGGTGTTGTCCTGGCTCTTCTCCTCTGAGTGCTCGCTATTCCTCGTTTGGCTCGGCAGGGGGGGAAGTTAGTTTAAAGTCCTGTAATCCTTGCTCCTAGGTGGAGTACAATTTAGAAATCTGCAGTTATCCTGGTACCATGTCCTGTCTCTGTCCCTCAACCGCTGGGCCCACCTGTTTCGATCTGAGCGTGTCTGTCTGAGCTCGCTGGTGGACTCATGGAACTCTGAACCTGCCTTAACGCTCTGTGGATTCCTGGATCTGTCTGTTTCTGGTCGGGCTACGGACTCATGGATCCCAGAACTGTCCTGTCGGCTCTGTTTTCCCTGACCTGGATCGGATTCCTGCTTGCTCACAGAGGATGCTGCAAAGAGGACACTCTTTGCAGCATTCCATCAGCTGGATTCTGCCTTCCTTAGAGAGGATTGGCTGAACTTTTTAACCAGGTAGGGGACTCACAGATAATCATCTCCAATCAGACGATCATGGTTGCTTACCTGTGTTTCTCCCTCCAGAGTGTCAGTGATTGGATGGTGCCCCCTGCAGCTGCTGCAGTCTGCAAATCCCACAGTTCCACATCTGTAGTGTTTTGCTTTGTGTTAATAAACATTTTGAACTTTCCCACTGCTTATCTTACCTTGAATACTGGGTCCATTTGTCCTGTTTCATGACAAGTTGAGAAGTAAAACAGTTTCCAGGAAGCATTTGAGGTCAGTTTTGATTTCTCTTTAGTCCTGGTAAGATGCTTTAGCAGCACTCATTACTATGTCCTTGATATATATATATGTATGGAGGTTAAACTGTCTCCAGATACAGCTCACAACCTCTAATTATCTTCCAAAACTCTGGAAAGGGCTTTTCTTCAGAATCTTCCAGATCAGGGTTTTTCAACCTGGTTTTCAGGACCTACTGTCCTGCATGTTTAAGTTATTTTCCTGCCTCCGGGTTTATTAACATGCCTCTATTGCCCTTAATGGATGCTGTGGAGGGAATGCAATCATTTGAATTGCAGTAGGAGCCATTCAAAATTTCCCCACTTTCCTTGAAGGGGCCTTGGCTGGTCCCCTACAATTCCTTTTTAAACATAAATCTTTCTACTAAAATATTCTGTCATGATTGGGGACATTAAGATGTAAAGAGAAGCATCATCTTCTGGTCAGACCCTGTGATCCAGTAAAAGGGTGGGGTCAGAGTAAGAAAATATGGTAGCTTCATGAAGGGGATTTTGCTGGGAGTTGCAGGGGAGTGGGCTGCCATGCCTGATGTATGGTACTTCCTTAAGTAAAGGATTTAAAAATAAGAATAACGCTGTGTCAGGTGACTGGTATCTGCTCAGAGTCTAAGAGGTCCCTGATGAAAGGGTGTATCCTTTGTAGTCTACTGAAGGAAATGCAATGATATGCAGCATGACTCTACACATCGACACATCACTTCACAAGGCAAACATTTCAAAACACATATAAGCAATTGTTTTTGGTCAATAGGGTTTGAATGCAGTAAAGGATTCCTGAACTTTGAGGAGATCAGATAATTTTTCTGCTCTTATGTATGATAAAAAGTTTCTTGTTTTTCATACATAACTAGATGTATTGGAGAATTATACACAGGACTCCACCAATTAATCATCTACAAGCAGAATTCCAGCAGCTTTCACAAAAAGAACTGCTATCTAAACCCCAGACTATGTCTGTTTGCTGTGTGTCTCTCTTTACATTAGAGATGACCTCATTCTTGCCAGAGTGAGCTCACTAGGTTTCCATTACCAAAAATGAGCAGTATACTGTTTCTGATTTCAAAAACACTTATTGTGTGGGTAACATATGAGAAAACAAAAATGCACGCATGTCATGGAATAAAGACAAATGTTTTATATTGTCCATTAAATGAGTGGAGGTATGTTAGATTTCTTATCAAACAGTATAGTATTGTCATCTCAATATTACTGAAATTGTTAATTTTCAATAACATTTTGGGTCAAAAGGATTTCCTGCCATTTCGATGGGGTAAAAATTTGTGTCTGAGGCATAAGGAATAAACATTTCAGTAGGTATTTTAGCACCAGGAAACACATTCTTCAGGTGTAAACCATGAAGGCAGAGAAAAAAATGAAGTTGTATAAGCTGCTTCTGAAAATGTCTTGAATAACCACAGAGCATATTATTGAATAATGTACTGTATTTTGCAAGTGGAGTCAATTTATATTAAAAAAGGCTGAGATTGGGTCCAATTTAATTAGCTGTTACCAATGGCACCACCTCAATATACTGTAAGTAGAAGCGGAAATTATTGTGTTTAAAGCACAGCAGGGAATCACCAACCTTCCCATTAAGTTCAATTTAGCCCTGTCTTGTGTTAAAGGCAACAAACTATAAAGATAGATATGAAATACTTTATGACAATATTTACTATAAGTCTATCTAGCAGACTATTAGTCAAAAGCCCTTAATACCAGACTAAGATCTCACCATGACATGCTTTTTCAGCCAGTATGTGAATAGTCAGATATTAGAGATTATTTTACAGGGGGTATCTGGAAAACATCCTTACCCTTGTTGCAATGCAAAGGTTCCTAAACCGTGGTGACCTTTGACAGAACTGCTGTACCGGGACTATGTGGGCAGCGTACTTGCACCAAGGCTCCTGCATGGTTGAACTCAGTATCGGAGACTTCATAAAGCAGCTGAAACAAACAGTGTTTGCATACCGATATATACCTTTTCTTGCTCTGATCACTCGTATAGAGACACAGGGGTCAG